TTGTCCATTTTCACTAATCAAACAACTTCAATGAAAAGGGTAAAAAAAAATTTATCCATTCATACACACAACTTGCACACAAATATATTGATGTTGTCTTCGAATGAAAAGGTGCTTGTAGTTGGCATGATTATCTTGGTTTGAAGTGTCGGTGTTTGGGCATGGTTTGATGGTCTTTAGTTTTTAATATGATATGGTCGCTGTAGAGAACGGAGCATGTTGGTTTAAATTCTAGGTTTTAAGATTCTGTTGTTTCAATTTGTGTTTGTTAAGGCGGTATGAATGTGTGATATAGTGATTGTGTGGATGTTCTTTTTCTATGATGTGTTGTTTGAAATGACCGTCTATATCTTTATAAAGTGTACACATTTGTAGCCTTTGGGTTTTACATTTTGTTGTTTGGGTTAGGGTGGTTGCTACTCCACATTTTGTCTTGACTGTCTAGTGCACTGGCTTTGGTGCTGATGTACTTTAAATTGTGAACTACAATGGTATAGGTGTTTGTGAGTAATATTATGCTTCTTGGAACATGGATTAGGTGAAACAATCATGGATCGTTTACCCCTAAGGTAGAAGATGCGTTTGGTCACAGTCTTACTTTTGCAATTGCATATGATGGAAAACATGTTCGCCATGCTTCTAATTGTTGGGCTTGCTGATGAGAATGTAAAATGACATATTTTCCCCCCTTAATGTCTAGTTTTTTATACTTATTTGTTGCCTAAATTTACTCATTATTATTCTATTTTGATTTAGGATGCAAATGGAGGCATTAAATGCAAAACGAAACTAATTAGGTGAATTCAGACAGTTTCAACATCACTTCGTAATCTAGGCATAACTCTCTCATCCGAGCTCAGATTTAGATGATTCAAAATTTTGTAGAACCCTAAGAAAGAGATCTACAATTTAATGTTTTGAGTTTGGAGAGATACTTTCTGCATCAAGGTTGTAATCAGGCTTGAAGTTGACGACCTGCATTGCTGACGTTCTAGAACATTCCGCCTTGTCATGCAAGTCAATTAGGCAGTTTATTATTGGAAGTTTTGAAGACCTGTTGCACGCATGTTACAGCTGGAAACACCACTTTCTTATTTTATATTAGGACTTTATTTTATTTTCAATTAATCAGTTATTTTAGGATATTAGAATTTTTTTAGGAGATTGAGTAGAATTCAAAGAGTTGAATTGGATATTCTTAAAAAGGGGAGAGAGATCAGATTAGGGGAGATTACACATGCCTCTCTTTTCTCTCTTCTGGAATTTTTCTCTCTTGAGTTTTGATTATGGCCATGAGTAGCTAAAACTTTTATAACTTGGTTGAAGGAAACGGAGACCTCGGATCAATAAAACTATGAGATCTAATCTGTTTTTTTTTTTTTTTTTTTTTTTTAGTGTTCAATATATGTTGAGTATTGGATGTTCTTCTATGCCTATCTTCATGATTGTTTCATTTAACTACTAGGAGGCCTACTAGTTTATTATTTGTTGTAATCTACTGCTAAGTCAGATATCAAATCCGTAATTGTTTGATCCCTCTAACTTGTGAGTAATTAAGGTTTCAGAATTTGCTACGTCAGGAATTATTAAATCTTAAGAAGAACATTCAACTAAATTAAATACAACCGCTTGTGTTTGTGTTGTTCAACTTCATTGATTTCTCTAGCCCTTAAGGCTGCTACTAGATTAAACCTTTAGCGTTTGTCTAGGGTTGCTTAGTAGTAAGATTAATTAGATCGCTTGTTTCCTAATTAACTACAACTAAGGAGAGATAGGAAAATAGTTCCAACGGTGAATACTCAAAGTAACAATTGATATATACTTGCATCGATGATCAGTTGTAAAACTCTGATGGTGGATGTTGTCTTAGACCAAGGTTTGTTATTTTGATTGATTTTGATAATATAATTTGAATTGTTTTTCCTAAAATTGTTTCCATTTTACTCAAAAACCCCCAGCCTTGTCCATGTGACATAAAACTGGGCTAGACACTCTCCGTGGAAACAATCCTTACTCACACTACTACATGTGTTTTTAGGTTTTAATTTTGGTTGCCTGCGATAGCACACCAGATTTTGGCGCCGTTGCCGGGAGTGATTCTAGTTATTTTGTTCTTCTTGTTTTTTTTTATTTTGCAGGAAAAAAATCTGAACAGTAGTACTATTCCTAAGGAAAATTTTGGCTGAATTAGGAGTGCTACGAGTACTCGTTTCGAAGAAAACGGAATTCTGAGCAAGACTAGAAATGATCTAGCCCACCCTCTTGAGGCCAAAAAACAATGTTTTGATAGGGTTTTTGGCATTTTTGTGTTTCTGGTCATAATAATAAATAAATTTTTTTATTTTTTTTTCTGGTTGATTTTCATTATTTTTCATTTATTTCTTTTATGAGATTCTTTGTTTTATGACCAGGGCCTCTCATCTTGATGATTTAACATTCGACCCAAAAATTGAGAGCACTTTGTGCAGGTTAAGGAGGGAAGCTCGGAGAAATCCTGAGGAAAACAATTTGGTTCTTGATTCCCGATTTGCTATCAACTCTTAATTAGAAGAGGAGGAAGTCATAGCTGGAAATCGAACTTTGAAAGGGCTTGCTGCCCCTGATTTGAATCAACCACCTTTATCCATAACGTTTCCTGTT